ACCCATGTAAGCTGGGGGCGAGCGCATGATTTTAGCGCGGTTGGGGCGGTCCGGAGAGCCACGAACGCCTTTGATCTTCCACGTCAGACGTGCCTTCTGGATAGGACGGTACTCTGAATCATCTAGATCGGCGTGGAAATTCTTCTCCCAGTAGTCATCTAGGCTGGTCAGCAGTCCGCTCCACGTTTTCTATCCTTCGTCCCGTGGTTTGGAAGCTTACACTCATAGGCGCTGTAGTCGCCATCCGCCGCAGATTCAATTTCCTTCATCTCTGTTTCGTCCGGCACTGTAGAGTCCTCCTCAATCTCGGCCCAGTAGGCATGCTCTAATTCAGGTGGAGCTGATTGACCCGCTGATGCCGGGTCGGAATCCTCGATGGTCTGTGTTTCGCCTTGCGGGGCATCTGGGAGCTCCTCAGATCGGGGCTCTGTCGACGGCTGGGAAGGCATGTCGCTAGGCGGCTCAGGAGAATCCTCCGTGGTGGTCTCAAGGGCCACCGTTGTTGCCGTGGCTGGCTCAGTGGGAATGGAGTCGGTGGTGAGGATGATCGGAGGGGGCACCTGGTCCACCGATGCAATTGAAGTCTCGATCTGAGAATCCATTTCTGGGACTCAAAGAAGATGGACAAGTGTGACAACAATCAAGAGACGACAAGTAATAGTAGCAATAGGATGGCCTGTCCCTAAAGGCTACTGTCAAAGGCGAGACAAAACACGAGTCAAGGAGGGCTAGACTGGAAAGGATGAGTCAAAGCTGAGAAACACGAGGAGTCTTAGCCTCAGAATGTGTGCAACCAACGGAAGACAATCAGACATTCAATGGTCAGGAAGTCTGCTGCAATGCTGCCTGCTCGAGTGTTTGGATGGCAGGCTGACGAGTCCCAAAAGAGTGGTCAGGCTGCTAGCAGGACAGAGGGGCAATGATGGGGGGAATTGAGACGTGAGAGCCTGACAGGCAGAAAAAGAGCGAGGGTCTAGAAAAGGCCAACGATAAGATGCAACGAGCAAGGCTTATCGGGGGAGAGGGGGGGGGAAGTGGCCCAAGGCTGGAGCAGCAGCAGAAAATAAATTAGGGGCACAAGTGTCAACCACTAGTGCTGAGAAAGACAAACAATGAGAGAAAGGGATGGTGTGAGGGGAAGTGGAGGTTGGCTGATGCTCAGCAACAGTCTATCACAGTTAGACTAATCACACTGAATCGGAGAGATTGTGCTGTACTCCTCCGTATGGTATATCAAATCCGGGGGAGGAGGTGCGGGAAGTATAGATAAGTAGAGAGAGAAGCTATCTCAACCCGCGAAAAGAGGATGAAAGATGGTAAAATGGTAGGAAAGCAGATGAAGGGGGGAAAGAAGAGGAAGAGGGAATGGACGGATTGAAAAAAGAAGAAGAAGAAGAATAATAATAATAATAATAAATCAGAAGAAGCAACAAAAGCGACAGAGCCTACTGATCGAGGGGGAAGAGCCAATGGCAAAAGGATGAGGATGAGGCGGCAATGCAGCGGCCAAATCACGAGGCGCTCACCGCTGGTTATTGGGGAATCAGAGCCACTTCTGAACTTCTGCTTCTTTTTTTTCCCCCGGATTATTAACATCCGTCTCCATCCCGTCCATTGCCACCGCACTCGGATAAAGCAATTGAGAGATGAAAAGAACTGAGAGAGAAAAATAAAATCAATTGTTCTCACCCAACCAAATTGAATGGAAAGAACCAACCAAAAAAGATCCCCCCCGAAAAAAAATAAAGAGAGAGGAAGACGGAATATCTTATCGATTGTCGTGCGATTGATCGACCGAACTAGCCGGGGGGAAACAACACACCAGGAACTGACCTGTCAATTTGCGTTGGTTGCCTTTCCCCTCCTTTCCATCAATTCCCCCCTCACCCCCCTTCACTCTCGCGAAAAGGAGAAAAGGAGAAAAGAAGTAGGTATGATTTCAACACTTCCAATTCCAATCAAAGAAAACATCTTCAAGGCAAGGAAACTCCGTTTCATTGTTCACTATCACAGTTACAACTTTTCCTTCGTTGAGTTCTTTGTGCAGTAGGTCTTTTTTGCATGCATCCCTCGGAACGGCAAGTCAAACACCCAGGTCCGTCCGATCCTCTAACCGGTGGCAACAGTCCCGGATAGAACAAACTAATTGAGGGCCATTTCCACGGCCACCACGGCCATGATCGACCTGTGGAACGCTCCATCGACCCAGTGCAATTCCATCGATTCCATTCGCCGTTCCACCCATTAGTATTTCCCCCTCTTCGCCCAAACTTTTTGCCCCTCTGCCGATCCAACAACTTCGCCCGACCCTCCGGGTTTTCGATGGTTTGCCGTCCTCTGCCGTGCAGACTCTGTCCCAGGGACTCGGAGCTGCTCGTCCGATTTGCCTCCCTTCTGAATATCCTCTTTGGCCGCTGCGCAATGAGTGGGGGGAATTAGCGTGACCGTAGCGCCACGCCTGGATCGGCCTCGAGTTATCGACGCGGGGCCGAGATAGGAGGGGAGCTCTCCGAGAAATCGCCCAAGTGCTCAGTGAAGGGTGCCTCGAATGAGCGAAATCCGCGGCCTTGGGAGTACTGGAAGTACAGAAACTGGAAACGAATCATGCAACGGCCATCTCGCTAAAATGTCTGCCGATATCTACGCAGTGGCCATGATCAATTCTTGGAGTGGGAAGCATCCGGTGCTCCTGCATCTGCTCTCGCAAACGAAGCGGCCACAATGAGTGGGAAGACCACTGTGGCTTCCGCATACACCTTCACCGACTCACCGTCAGCTTTGATCTTGCCCCAGCTGACGGCCTCATCCGGTCGCGCCCCGGCATCGCTTCCATCGAACTCCTGACCAGTATTCACGTAGACCGCATGCTCCGCACCGTTCCGCATCAGACAGGCATTCGCAATATGGTGTTTAATGACCCCACCTCCGAGGATGATCATTCCCGCTCGAGCAGCACGAACAGCCATGGTATTGATCCGGCGCACATCGTCGACAATATCAACGCGCAACCGTTGCGGGGAAGATTTGAAAGTGTGGAAGTAGAGCATGTCTCCAAGGGAGCCGTCCGTTAGGGCCGGGCAGAAGACGGGGATATTGTTGCGGGCGGCCCAATACAGCACCGAGTCCTCATTGTTGATTTCACGGCCCAGGCGTTCGGTGATGCGACTCGGGGTCCAGTGCAGTTCGTCCTCCTCGTCCCCCGTTTCCAGCGCCTTTTTCTTCGCGGCCTCTTGCTCCTCTAGCATCTTATCCAAAATCGGGACCAACCAATCCTCAAAGGCACAGTAATTGCTATTGGGGACAATCAAATTGCCGATACGATTCAAACCCTTCGCCCGCAATCCCGCGCCGGGTGTGCTGAAGGAGCCCATGTAGGTTGGAGCCAAGCACTTGATCAAATCTTCTTCCACACCGCCAGCGGTGGTGACAATGGCGGAAACATGGTTGTTTTTGACGAGGTAGCGGATGGTGTCGCGGAGGCCGGAGGAAATTAAGTTGGAAGTGTATCCGAGAAAGATGGTCGTTTTGGCACCGGTTTCGGGATGACGGTAAGCTTTCTTTCACAACCGGGTGCTGTCAGCGAATATACCTTTTTAGATTTGGATAATGGTAGAGGTGGCCTTACCATGTTATTGATAATGCGGGCAGCGTCTGCGACCGCACTACCTTGGAAACCCGTGTATCTCATGTTGTCGACCAATTCGGCAACGGTGATGTCTCGGTCCTTGTAAAGATCAAAGTCCACTCCGCTCACTTTGTGTGTGCCTTCTGGAACAGGCTCAGACGCGACCAAGACAGCATCGGTGACGGAGGAGGGAGGGGCATTCTCAGCCGCCGGGACATTGTTCGCAGACATTTTTAGGGAAACCAGTTGATTGGGATTGAATGCTAGGTAAACGAGCGAGAAAAAGCACTAGGTTGAATCTCAGTATTGTTCCCTCGATGTCAATTCTCGATGGAAGGAATGCGAGATAAGTGGTGAAGGTTGGTGGTCACGTCAAGGGAAAAAAAAAAAGCGGGTTGTGTTTTCCCCTTAGGCTAGCCTTTTTTTGTTCAGTTGGCACTTTCCCCCCCCCCCCTCTTCTCTTAAGAGCGGATAGTGGGGGGGGCTCGCAGGAAATGCCCGGCGGCGGGAATTGGCAGATGGCAGGCAGTTGGCAGCCCCGGAGGCAGAATGGGCAGCCGCTGCAGGGATGCCTGAGTGCATGCCTGAGGCCACTAATGATGATAGACACCTGAGGCATCTGGTGGAAACTGGACCCCTGGCCTGCGCTGGCCTGAGGCCAACTCCGCAAGTTCAAGTTATTTTTGAGTTTCCCCTAGAAAAGCGAGTCCCTGCAATCGAGTGACTCCCTGGCCAACTAAAAGCTTCCGACTCCATTGCCTGGGCCCCATCGCTGAGTCTGGTCAGAGTCGCTCGTTTTTCCCTCTTGCTCCAACCTCGAACCTCTTTCATGATCCTCCTCTTCTTGACTCTGTCTAGACTCTGACCTCGAAATCCTTCCAGTCCTTCCAGTCCTTCCATTCCATCTTCAATAATCATTTACCTTCTGTTTTTAACCTCTTAACCTCTCCAATACCATCGGATTTCCCTTCCAACCACCGCCGTTACACGCAAACCGATCTTGGGGTCTCTGGGCGCGTTCCGGAACCGAGAACGAAGACCGCGATCCCATCGCTGGGGATTTTGCTGCCCAGCTCCCACTCCCACACCTACTCCCACTCCCACTCCCTTGCAGCGCAGTCTTTCCCGGTGAATTACTTGACACGTTGTCGCCCATCAAACAGTGCGTGCGACAGTTCCAGTTACGTTGAAAGATCAGGTAAATTGAGTTTACGTCTTTTGGTTCTGTTTGCTATTGTTTCCGTCCGAAGTTTGAAGTTTTGAGGTTCTTCATTACCATCATCTCATCTCCATCACCCTCATCATCCTCCCGATCTTTATTCTCGGCCACTCCGATGAAGAATTCTGGCCGTGTGAGACACTGTACTCCGTTGCCTGAGTCGTGACCAGCCAGAAGGTCTCCCCTCGCACTGGAAATCGAAAATCTGTCTGCTGCCGCCTGCGTGATCCCCGATCCACCCAGGAAAGCTGCCCCGGCTTGTCCAGTCACGGGCTGAAACAATCGGCGCCAACCGTGGCTGCCGCTAAGCATGAGGGATGGTGCCAAATTGGGATCCGCGCTAAGTGGGTTGAACTGGATTCATGTTAAAATGATTACCTAATTTTCAATCCTGGCCCGTGCGTTTCTCTTTTTCCAGTGTTTCCACTGGTGACTGAACTGCACTGACTGCACTGACTGCGCCCATGCTGGGCTGGCTCGGGGCTGGCATGCTTCATTCTACCATCACGTGTTCTCCACTGCCCGTTCGTTCGTCGGTCGTTCGGTCGTTCGATCGTTGCTCGCCCGCGTTTTTGCTGCGACTGCGACTGCTGCTGCTGCTGCTGCCGCTTCCGCCTCTTTGCGTCAATTGGTCTTTCCAGCCCGCTCTTTTCGAGACTCCTGCTTCTTCTTCTGTCCATTTGTCTCATGTCTATCCATTTCCTCATTTTCCTTTCTTTTTCTTTACTCTACTTGAATTTGACTTGTCGCCTTCATTTTCTCCTTTTATTTCCTTTTGGACATACTTTCGTTCCCCAAAGTCTTATTCCTTCCCACCCAGTACCTTGCCTTGTTTGACGTGTGAAGTCCCACGTTACTAATCTGTTGCAGGCATCCTGCCAGGTTGCTTTGTCTCATATGCACTAGCATGACCTGGTGATGTCTCAAAGATACCCTCCGCCGTCTGGGTTCAACTCCCGTGACCGTTCTCCGCAGCGTTTTGGGGACCGTCGACCCCCGGCAGGTCCCCGAGGATCCGACGATGCCAACATCCCTCCCGTGGGCCGAGAGCCACCTCGAGGCCCTAAAGCATTGATTGATCCGCCGCGGGGTGCTACATTTGCTGGTCGTGGCCGAGGATACACCGCCCGAGGAGGAGATTTCCGAGAACGAGATCGAGACATTCGAGACCGCGAACGAGACCGAGACCGAGATTTTCGCGATGTCCGTGATGGCCCGCCACCTTTCCGCCGCGATCTGGATCGAGATCGGGACTGGAACCGGCGCGAACGCGACTTCGACCCTCGAGAACCCCGCATCGGCTTCGGACGCGGTCGCTCGCGCTCTCCCCCACCGCCTCGCGACTTTCGAGATATAAGAGAGCCTCTGGGCCGAGATCCTGATCTTGTCCGCATGCGGCGCGGCTCACGAGATAGTTTGATCTCGGTTTCCTCGGCAGTGCCTGACGTCCCGGCAGGAAACAGTCACCATGTTCGGACCGGTCCCCCCATCCGTGGGCGTGGTCGGGGTGAGTGGGAAGCAGGACGCGGCAGAGGCCGGATGCCCTATCTAGATGATCGTGACACCTTCAGGCGCAGAAGTCGATCTCGCGACGGACGCTGGGATCGGGAACGCGACCGAGACCGGGATCGGGATCGGGATCGGGAACGTGAGCGTGAAAGAGAGCGGGATAGAGATCGCATACTTGACCGCGACCGTGAAAGAGAACGTGAACGAGCACCATTAGACCGCGACCGTGAGATTGACCGACGAGATCGGGAAAGAGATCGTGACATACTGCAGGAGAGACGAGAAAGATTTGAGCGACGAGACGACTTGGAACGCCGTGTCGAGCGCGATGACCGGGAGCGACCGGGGGATCATTGGAAGCGTGAGCCGCCTGCCAATCGATTGGAGAATCCAAACCGGATACCGAGCATATCTGCCGCCTCACCTGTCGCTACTGCACCCCAACCCACAATCCCTGCAGTTCCCGAGCGGGTATCTGAGCCCCCCGTCGTCGAGCCGCCACGCAAACCGTCTGGAGGAGATGTCCGCCGCGAGCCAGAACGGACCGAGCCACCTGCACCACCTCGTGCGGAGCCACCGAAAGAAGCGGTTGTTGCGCCGCCCGTAAAACGGTCCCCTCCCCCGGCTGCGCCCCAGGTCCCCGCATTTGGTTCGGTTACGGCACCAATTCCCGAAATCACAGCAGACAAAACAACGGCAGAGTCGGCGCCTGCTGCATCCACTGTTGCCAAAGCCGAAAAGGAACGCCCCGAGGCGCCGCCACGGGCCCCAGGACTTCCACCCACTGCCCCCAAAGCTGATCGGGCACCTCCTCAGCTGCCTCTCGAGCAGCGAATCCGACGGGATGAGACCAGACGTGACGACATAACCGACACATCGGCAAAGCCCGAACCCATCGCACGTGTGCCCAAACCGCACGCCGCACCCCCACCCAGTGGACATAAGGTAGCCGAGCTTTCTCCGCCTACTGCGCCCGCTGCCATGGTGGCCAAGGAGACATCGGCCTTCCATGAGGCAACGTCGCCAAGCAAGCCAGGGCCTGCCCCGATGACGGTAGATTTTGGCCGGAGGCCGTCTGCGGCAGGGCGTGCGGTATCTCCGGGCACCCACACCTCCCCTAGAATGCCGAATTCAACAATCCCAACTGGTCCACGTGCTCTTCAGCAGCGACCGTCTGGCTCTCGCGGACCGCCCAAGCCCAACAAGCAATGGGTTCGTCCTGGATACAGTCGTCCACCAGCAGGGCCAAGCTCAACACTTTCTGCAAAACGGGACTCTATTGATGAAAAAGAGCGCAGTCTTTCGGTCAGCGAAGAGCACCGGCGGGATTCACGTACTGATATCGATGATTCAGGCTCAGGGCCAGAGGCAGGAGAAATAGTCAGTGAAAAGGATCCGACTGAGCCAAAGCTTGAGCTCCCACCTTCACCTCCACTAGCGGCGCAACCGGAGAGACCCAGGGAGAGATCTGCCCCTCCTGTAGAGAAGCAAAAAACACCGGAAACGCCAGTGGAAAAGACAGCAGACGTACCGAAGAACGTGGTTATTCCCGATTTCACACGGACTAGCGACGAAGAGGAAGACGAAAATATTGTGTTCACACAAGACTATCTTGAAGAGAGGAAAAGGGTGTTCGAGAAGGACATGCAAGCCCTTCGAGCGGAGCTTCCTCCGTCTCCGTTAGAAGATCCGACTATCATGACGCTACTGATGCGTATTCAGCTGCTTGGTGCATTAGCCCATGCCACCGTTGAAGACAAAGCACCAACCCCCCCGCCTGTCCTGGATGAGGAGAAAATGACCGGCGATGAGAAGCCGGATGCAATGGATGTCGACACCGAGCCAAATGGAAAGGCCGAAGATCACGAGCCACCGACCAAGGAAGTTATGGAATCGGTACCTGCTGCTGAAATACTCTCCGTGGAGACTTTGCCGTTTCTCAACACTGGTCCCCCGACCCCATTGTCAGATCTGGACATCTACCAGGAGAATGCAGCAGCCCATGAGCAGCTCAGGGATATTTTCCGCGGAGAACTCATGAAACAACGTAAAGAGATTGCCCAAAAGAATGCTGGCCTACGGCTTGATTATCTTGCTCACTATAAGCCCTGGAGGCTGAATGTTTGGGAATTGGACAATGCCAAGGAAAAGACGTCGGTCACGCCCGGACCAACCACGCCTCCTGCTGCCCCCATTCCTGTGACGGCTACACCTACGGTGGAAAGCGGACGAAGATACAAAGGCAACAGTGAGTTGGACTTCCAGAATGCTCTTCGCGCTTCTGAGATCTCGGCACAAGAGGAACTCGAGAAGCGTCGTGGCAACAAAGCTACGGCTCAGCCAGATCTATCCCGCGAAGCCGTCATCCCAGACATGCTAGAACCGCGCGAGGTGAAGGCACGAATCTATAAAGACACCAATAACATTATTGATCCTGCAAACGCCATGGACGTATTCGGATTCCTGCCGCCGCCCAATGACTTCACTAAAGAGGAACACGTTATCTTCACAGATGCATTTATGGCACATCCCAAGAAATGGGGCAAGATCGCGGAATCATTGCCTGGGCGCGACTTTCAACAATGCATCATACATTACTATCTCACCAAGGAAGAGATCAAGTACAAAGCCAAGCTCAACAAGCGGTGGAGCCGTCGGGGACGAGCTAGAAGATCTGCCCGTCCAAAGTCGAATGCGCTCATGGCCGATCTGGGTGTGGTCAAGCCAGACTACGAAGGGGAAGAAGAGCCCGCGCCTGTCACGGATACCGGTCGTCCCCGACGTGCAGCTGCTCCCACGTTTGGTGACTCGTCTGCAGATACAGATGCAAACGGTCGTCGCGGAAATGCGTCCAAGGACGGTGAACAGGCAGAGAAACCTAGCCGGCGAGGACCTCGCAGCGGCGGCGGCACTCGTGGTGGTCGGCGAGGCAAAGCTGCGCAGCAACAACAACAGCAGCAGCAACAGCAGCAACAACAGCAACAGCAACAGCAACAGCAACAGCAACAGCAACAGCAACAGCAACAGCAACAACAGCAGCTGCAGCAGCTGCAGCAGCAACAGCAATTACAACAGCAACAGCAACAACAACAGCTGCAACAACAATTGCAACAGCTGCAACAGCTGCAACAGCAACAACAGCAAACACCGCAGCCGACACCATCAGAGCAATCGGCTCGAGCAACGCCGGTTCCCCCTGTTGCAATCGCCATTACTCCCGTACCAAAGACAGAGGTATTTGAGCCGTCGCTTGATGGGGCTGCTGCTGAAGTTCCGACTGTTCGCAAAGAGACGCCGCAAGAAAAAGAGCCGATCGAGGCACCACCGCGGGCGCGATCAGGACGAGGACGTCAGAAAGAGGGGGTCTATGTTTTCGAATCGACCGATCAGGAGGTCCCCGCCCCCGCCAGGCAGCCCGAAGCCAGCGGATACGGATCCTTGCAGCCCACCAGTTACTGGTCGGTGCCCGAGCAACGCGACTTTCCCTTGCTGCTGGCACATTTTGGCCGCGATTTTGAAGGTATTTCCAATTTCATGAAGACCAAAACAACAGTCATGGTAAGTTTTCACGTTCGCTATTTTCTGTTCTGTTTTTTGTTGCACCATCGGCTAAAGGTGTGGTATAGGTCAAGAATTACTTTCAGCGCCGCATCGATTCCGGTAACAAGGATTTCGAGGAGATTATTGCCGATGCTGAGGCGAAGAAGGCCCGCGGTGAACCCACTGGCCCCTTGCCTGTACCGAATTTCGCCTCGAAGCGACGCTACGAGGCTACGCCGTCTGCCATAATTATGCCCCGGCCTCTTGCACCACATACAGATGCAGCAGTGCCTGAAGTGGACGAAGGCCGGCTTGGGCCCAAAACCAAGCCAATCGGGTCATCTCAGCAGGTTCCTCTTCATACTCGACCTACGCAAGATAAGGAGCGAAACATCTCGCGTTACCCTCCTCTTGCACAGGCTAGTGCCGTACCGGTGCCTATCCTTGGCGGCGATGACGCTTCCAGAGCCATGCGTCCTCAGGCTACATTGCCACCACGACTCCAGGGACCTCGTCTGGGATATTTCGCTGACGACCGGCGTGATATCCCAGGCACAGTGCTTTCACACCCTCCCGCCTCTCATGCTCAGGACATAACCGTCTCGTCCCGGCAAACGCCAGTATCAGCTGCAGAAATGGCACGTCTCGACCCGCTCCATGCTCAGGGTTATCGGAATTCCAACGTCGACATTCATGGATCGCCATTGCTACCAGTACAGGCTGCGATTCCTGCCTCGCAGCCTGCTTATATGCCGCCCCAGCATCCATCGTCTTTGATGCCCACCGGGTCTCACTCTCGACAGCCGAGCCTTACAAAGACCCCCAGCTCACCCGCTCAGCCACTTTTGGTACACGAGTCTGAACACTCCCCCATCCGTCGTGACTCGATTTCGCAGAGGCCTTTCTTCACTCTGCCAGGCCAACCAGCAAGTATCGCCCAGCCGCCCATGCTGTCGCCGCCTAAGGAGCTTCTCCGACCGGGGTCTACTCCTCTTGAGCCCCCCGAGCCGCCCCGTGTGCCTGCCAAACGATCGAATATCATGAGTATTCTCAACGACGAGCCAGAAGAGCCACAACCACGGAAACGGTTCGCCAGTGACCAGGTATCTACCCCAGCAAGCAACACGGGATCTCCGTCCCGTGCTGGGTATGCTGGTATGCAGTCGCTTTCCCAGCCACCTTCGAGGCCTGAGGATCCTTCCTTGTCAGCTCAACCGAAGGGTCCGGTTTATGGTGCGCCTAGCCCGTATCTTCCGCCATCGCGCGGGTACGTTGATCGCGGATACGCTGAGTACCAGCCTTACGGCTCGGTGTCTGGAGGTGCCGCACCAGCCACTAACGATTGGATGGCACGGTTCGATCCGCGTGGGCAACAGCCGCCACCACCCCCGCAGCAGCAGCAGCCGCCGCAGCCGCAGCCCAGCAGCCGCACGTCTGCTTCTCTCGCTTCCCAACCCGCCTATTCCCCCTACACGACCCACCAGTCTTTGCCTGGTCCCTCGTTACAGAACCTCACAGCACCATCGCCTGCGCCTACGCCCTCGCCGGCTACGGCTCAGCGACCTGCTTATCATGGCTCAGTGTACGTTCCTTCCCCTGCGTCACATGCCCAGGCAAGTGCGGCTGCGTCGCGCGAAATTGCTGCGCAGAATGCCATGTATCGACCGGCAGTTGGCTCTCCGACCCCCCGGAACGGCAGTCTCGCGTCGTATAGCTCCAGACAAGGGCCGCCTACGCCAATTCAGTCGCCTGCTAATTTACTGGGGATGCCCTCCCGACAGCCAACTGTGGCACAGCCGGCATATGTGTCGGCACCAGCCACACCCGGTGGAGGCATGTCTGCGCAACAACATGCGAACCACCAGACTTATCAGCAGCACGTCCAAACCATGGTGAATGGAGCCCATCAACAGGCGGCTCATCGATCAGCGCTGGGACTGGCTGGTGCCGTAGCGTACGGTCACAGCACCCCGCCCCCGCAGGCTCAAATGTCTCGGGCAGCAGGCCTGCCTGGGCCAGGGCCGCAGGGGATTGCGATGGGTCGGTCATACACACCCCCGGCGATCCTACAGCCAAACCCCGCGGGAGGGCTGAGCTATGCTCCTAGTGGGGCTGTGCACGCGATGCAAGCACGGCCCCCAGGGCCTGGAGGTCTAGAACCAGGTCCGCATGGGGCTCCCGGGCACCATCGCGTGTACAGCCAGGGGTCGAACCCGGGGCCACTTCCTGGACAGATGACACCACAGCATGCCCCTCGATAGAGGCGAGACTTTACATTTACACCTAGGTAGTATTTGTTTGGCGGGGCGGTGGGATGTTGGGAGTGGGGATCTTTTGCTTGTATTATCTTAAAACTTTCTTGCCTGTCTGAGTTTTATCTCTTTTGTCGGATGACGACTGAATGTATAGTAGATGACTACATGGATGGCCAATCTTATCTGATGACTTGGTATGTTGTAGGTCCTAGGAGTAGAGGATCCGAATTTGAGCTGTACACGCAAGGCAGTACGTGGACGATGATCCCGTGGAGACCTTCTGCCGCGTCGATGAAACATGACATCCCGTGTGTCGTGTGGGGGGGGGGAGTGATCGGCTAATATGCTTATCAGCGCGTGCGTATATTAGGTGCAATCACCATGCAACGCTCTCCATCTTAAAAACTTCTTGTGTATTCTCCAAAATGTCTTTCCCAACTGCCAGTCCAACAGGCAGCCCTCCTTCTCCTCCTCCGCAACCCATCGAACCCCCGATCCTCCTCCAATCCGAGCGCCACAAGACCTACTATGAAAGCACCCGACTCGCGCGGCGCCGCTACGAGCACGCCACCCTCCGCGAGGGTCTGCAGCGGGGATTATCGCTCTGGAGCATTCTGGCCATATTATCGGGTGGTGGGCGTGAGGATGCCCACGCCCCCTACCGCGGAAGGAGATTGCATCCTTGCAGGGTGACGAGCCACAGCCACGGGCATCGACTTGAGGGCCGCAGCATTGGTTGCGCACCCACAGCCATGCATTACGCCCACCCCCACACCCACAACGACCCTCCGCTCGAAAGACACGAGCATCAGAATCATCTCAACATGTTTCCATCTTCATCTCCCTATCGGCAGAGCCAGCTCGCCATTCACCATCGCAGGACAACTGAATATTCCACCAGCAGCACCAGCAGCACCAGCAGCAATACAACCCCCTCCCCACCCCGCCTACCCCACCATCAATATCACCACCAGCGACATAACAACCACCACAACCAGATGCACAATAACTCAACCCCAGCCCCAACTCAGACCCACGACCATCCTCCCAGAAACCAAATCAACCCTCTCTTCACCTTCACCATCAATCCCCCCCTCATCACCCCGGATAGCTCCTACTTCGCCCGCGTCTCGGACTACCGGGTGCGCAGCCGGAAGCGGCCGTGGGAGGGGGACCGGAGCTGGGATCGGAGCTTTTTGTGTCGGGCTTATAAGCGGCGGCGGGGTGGGGGTGGGGGTGGTCCTGGGACTTTAGGTGTTGGGTTGGGCGGGGATGGGAGGAGAGTGCGTGGTGGAGGGGCCGTGGTGTTGGAGAGGGGGATTGTTTGGGAGATGGGGGGTGGTGGTTCTGGCGGTGGGATTGGGGAGGGGGATTGGGAGGGGGATGATGGGCTTGGGGAGGCTAATGGGGATGGAAATGCGGGGAGGTGGCGGTATTGGGTTCCTGTTTAGCTGTTCGGTGGTCTATTGGCGAGGGGATAGGATTCTGAGTTACTGTGCGTGATTGGCATGATTATGGCTTTGGTCACACAGGATAAGACGGGGTAGAGCAATGGATGATGTGCTGATCACTGGTTGATTTCTCTATGGTTGCCAACGCTGGAGGGTCCCATGCTATTTCGTGTTGGGAGATATTATGTGTTATATGTATTGTACATGCGTGGTTAGCTCGATGGCCTGCATCGAGTCGATCTTGTTTTGCAAGGCTGTTGAAGCTAAGGACGCTTCCTGAATACTAGCGGGCACTCATCCTATCTCACGTCAGTTTCGGTCCCACGTATCAACACGACGTCAAGGAAACTCACCATCGGAAACAACGTGGCAAACACCCGGATCTCCTCCGACCGGGCCGTCGCATGATGCGTCCAGTCCAGCTCCAGCGCCGCCTTCCCAATCATCCCCGCCATCGACAGCGGCACGTACTTGCGGGCCAGGCAATCGTGCGCCCCTGCCCCGAACACCAGCCAGTTCTTCGTCTTCGACTCGGCGTCCCCCGTGATCCAGCGGTCCGGGTCGAACACCTCCGGGTTCGGATACGCCTCGGGGTCATGCAGCGCCGGCCAGCACGAGGGGATCACCATCGCCCCCTTGGGCGCGGTATACTCTGGCGTGATGGGGAAGTCGCGGGTCGCGAGGTAGGGCACGAAGATGACGGGCGGGCGATGGCGGAGTAGCTCCTTGATGACCGCGCTGGTGTAGGTCAGCGACTCCAGCATGGGCAGGTCGAAGGCGCGGGAGCGGTCGCCGCCGCGGGCGGCCAGGTTCTCCGCGCGCACGCGCGCCAGCACGTCCGGCCGCTGGGCCAGGATCTGGAAGATCCAGGTCGTCGCGCTGCTGGAGGCGTCCTGCGAGGCGAACAGGAAGGTGAACAGCGTCTCGCTGATCTCCTGGTCCGTGAACTCGCGGATCAGGTTCTTGGGCTTCTCCTCGTCCGGCACGGCCTCGCCCGCCGCCAGCCGTGCGCGGTACCGGCTCGACTCCATCATGTGCCGCACCCAGTGGTCCACGATGCAGGTCGGCGGCGCCCCGCGCGCCATGTTCGCCTTGCAGGCCGCCGCGCACCGCGCGAACTCGGCGTGCACCGCGTCCGCCGTCCGCTTGCCCCACCACGGCTTCGTGAAGGGCACGTACATCGACAGAGGGATGTTGACCAGCTCCAGCGCCGCCGTCGCCAGGTAGAAGTCATCCGCGATCTTTTGGATGGCGTCCGGCGAGATGTAGTCCCCGAAGAAGGTGCGGCACGACAGCGCGCAGTTGATCTCGCGGAAGAGGGTCATGAAGGGGATCGGCCGGTGGTCGTTGGCCGCGCTGGCCGCTACGAATCGGTCGAAGTAGTCCGCTAGGACCTTTTCCTGGGCTGGGAGGTAGGTCTCCATGGCTTTGTTGGTGAACAGCGGCGCCAAGCCCCGGCGGTACTCGGCGTGCGCTTTGCCCTGCAGGAAGACCCAGGCTTTGTGGCCGAGGATGTCTTTGGCGATGGGGACGAGGCACGGCTCTGCGTAGGTGGGGGATTTGAAGACTTTGTGCGCGAGGTCGCGGTCGGAGGCGAGGACGACGAATCTGGAGGGGGTTCAGGAGGGGGTGGTAAGAGATCGATGTGGTGGAACGTACTTGTGGAAGACGGAGACGCAGCTTAAAGGTCCACTCGCCCATTGAGCGAGGTATTCATCGAACTTGGGATGGATGGCTTGGAGGAACGGGCCCATAAGGGGGATCTTGAATGTCGGACCGGCGATAGAGCCCTTTCGCTTGATGTACATGACTATTCGTGCGGAGTCAGTGACTGGTTGGTAGTTGAAGAGGGTGTTGCAACCTTGATCGTAAATTACTACTCCCAGTAGAAACGTCACAATACACTGCCAGGTGGACCAGCCCGATAGGAAGGAGTATGCTGGGTTGGGCCATGTTGGCGGCTGCGCGAGGTGCGCCGTGGTGATGTTGACAAACTCAGCCATAGTGATTTTGAATGAGGAAAGTAATTGAGGGAACTATCGAGACGAGTGGTCATTGTACTGCTTTATACGAACGGACTGAAACATGAGAAAAGGAGAGTGGCTGCATTAATTCATCATCATGCGATGAAATACTCTGGCACTGCATTTTGTATACATGACCCGATTGGGACTAGACCCCGAAAACACATTCGGGCTCTAGTCTCTTCCGGGTTAGACTCGAATAGCTTCCATGGCCATTGATTCACTCTTCAATCACTTCACACTCCACAGTTTCATCTCTGGCTGCTGTTTAGTTATTATCATTTCCAATCCTTACAAACCACTTGAATGACATTGGCGCTACTACTTGGATATTCCATGGCCCCTGAGGAAGAGATTCTCAGTTGACAAAGTCGGGTGTTCTTTTCCTCCAGGTCTTCCTGAAGCGCAGGCAGCATCCCTCGGCATCCGCTTGGCGACCCTTTCCCTTACACAGTCTAGATCGGTTCTTCATCTCCACCAACACTCTTCTCTTCCGTGGCACAATCTCGAGAGAAACACATCTAGTCCACACTGCATAACACCACAATGTCGCGAACACTTCGTCGCTCCTGTACCGCCTGTTACAAGTACAAACATAGCTGCGATCTCCGCACTCCGCGCTGCTCGCGCTGTATCAAGCGCAACGTTCCGTGCGTCTACGCAAATCAACCTTTGACAGCACCGGAGGATAGCGGATCGACGATAGCGCCCAACTACTCGACTGCTTTGACCAGCTACAGGTTCCCCGGTCTCGACCCTTTCGACTCCTACCCCCAAACGCGATTGCCCCGGGAACGCGTTCAACGTCTGATCCATAGTTGTACGTATTGCTTTCACCTAGCTTGTACCAGGAAATTCGACTTACCTGCCAGTCCTGCACAAAATTGCCTTTCAGTACTATCCGCTGGACTTGAATGCAACGACCAATCCGTTTCTTATTTCATGGTGGCCGCTGGCTCTGGGCGATCCGGCTTTGTTTCATGTCTCTCTGCAGACAGCGTGTCTGGACGAAGAGCTGCTCGCTCAGAAAGGCTTCCAGGCCTCGGAAATCCTCATGACTGACTCGGTGTCGCTACTACGCCGCAAGATTGACGACCAGTCCCTGGCTGTTCAGGATGGGACGATGAACTCCGTTATCACCTTGGCGGCTATTGAAGTAAGTTCTGAGATTCCACACTTTGACGCAGTGCTGATCACCGCGGCACCAGTTTGGCAAGGGGAATGTCGACATTGCCGGGATGCATGTCCGCGGGGTTAAGAAGTTGGTCACGCTGAGAGGCGGCATCAATTCAGTAAGACAGACCAGCCCTTTGACTGCTCGGATGATCAGTTGGTAAGTCGACTTGTCCCCCAACAAAAGCTTTCTGACGTATGCCGCCAGGGTATCGATGCTTGTCATGGGCCACCCCCAGTTCGAAACGCAGGACGATGTCGGCATCGGAGATGGCATTCCCTCAACTCCTGAATACCAATACGCTTCCTCGACGGACCTCCTTGAGGGCGGAGTAGTCGGTTTTGTCCACATCGTTAAGGACGATCTCGAGTACTCGGTTCGGAACGTCTTCATCCGTCTCCGCAACGTCTTTCAGCGTGCGCGCCGTATACCCTTCCCACCGACCCATCTCCACGACCTGACATGTTTTGTCATCCACCGACTACTTCTTTCGGCCCCCTTAGACTCTGCGGGACCAAATTCTACAACACCGCCATCAATACCATCCTCTATAACCGAATGCATCCGCTACGCCACCATCATCTACATGTTCATCATCCATGGTCCAACATACTACTCACACGCAGTCATCTTGAACACGATGGTCATGCGATTTGTGCAGCATCTCAAGCTCCTCGATCTGATGCCCCACATCCATTCCTCCCTTGATGTTTGGTTCGTAGCAATTGGGATGGTCGCTTCTGCCGGAACTCACCCCGCTCACTACCAATGGTTCTTGGAGAGAGCCCGGATGGTAGCAGGCGCCTTGAACCTAAGGAGCTGGAGCGACGCAACCGAAAAAGTCAAAAGTGTCCTGTGGTTTGACACCCCGCAGGGAGATGCGATCTTTCGCCCGCACTTGGATGCGATTTTTAGCGATGCAACAGATATCTCAGTGCACCGACTCGATCTTGCAGTCTGTGTTTCGTCGAGTAGTGCTCGCGAAGGGCTACCGCGAACGGCACACTTATCCGATACATACACATGACATGACGGCAACCGTGAACGGGGTGCAGAGTGAACTGAAGTGCCGACAGCGGTATGCGGTGCGAGCGAAGGTATCCGTCCCGAGGTGATGGTGTCGCCAAGCAGGAAGTCCAGAATTTTAGGTTCAAGACTACAGTTCCCCGCAATACTGACTTGCAACCTCTTTCGCGCTTCGAGGGGCTATCTTTCTATAGACACTTCCCACATCAAGCGCTACTCCTCAAAGATCTAACATGCAATAACTCTTTCTATGCGCGTTGGGATAAGCAGTATCTGCCAAGCTCCCGCTCCGCAATCTCTGACACTGAAACCGGTTGTGATTGGCAGTTGGGCGGGTCGAGCCGGGTTGATGCCGAGAAAAAGAGGAGCAACACATCAACCGACAGACAGATCAGGTCCGTGGAAGCTGTGTAGCCAGAGATATGGTCTTATTGCCTTGGCTTGAGTGCGCACCTGTTCCTGGATAGAGCTGGAACAACAGGATCGAGGCTATCACCAGCGAAAGAAGATTCTTCCGCCCATGAGTCAGTGATATCGGCAACCGCCGACGCAATACTCCGTACACCAGGGGAATTGGAGAATTCAGCACAGACCTTCTCTAGCCGTCAGCAGCGCTCTTTCTGACTCGCGTTGACTAATTCTACCCCTGTTATGACGTTATGATTGGCTCATCGGACTATCCGAGTCGGACCTCCGACACTAAGAGGGTCGCCTCGGTCACTCGCGGTGCCGAGACCCGGTGGCAATCCCAATAAAGATCGAAGGCTTGCGTCTTCTAGAATGCGAGGGGAAGTCGTGAATTTGCTGCATACCCAAATTCTTCAGGCAGCATGACGGTAGTGCCTGGAACAACGGTCTCGTCGACACCGCCATCTAATGATGTCGAAAAGGCCGCTAAGCCCGTATCCTCGCCCGATCCTAATCTGGTGCGATGGGAGGAAAATGACCCTGAAAATCCACAAAACTTCTCGACGGCGTATAAATGCTGGATCACCTTCCAATTAGGGATGCTGGCCCTAAGTGCCAGTTTGGGATCGAGTATCATCTCCCCTGCGCAAACGGACCTGATTGAATACCTTGGGATCAGTAAAGAGGTCAGCATCCTGGCCACGTCGCTGTACATGTAAGATTCACTCTCTAGCAACTGAAAGCAGTCCAATTGACGGAGGATAGTCTCGGATTCGCCTTCGGTCCGCTGTGCTGGGCGCCGATCTCAGAGATCTGGGGTCGTCGTTGGTCGATGCTCCCAGCGGTATTCTGCATGGGTCTATTTAGCATCGGCACTGCGACCAGCAAGACCACTGCTTCCGTGCTCATCACGCGGTACTTCGCCGGGCTGTTTGGGTCTGCTCCCGTCAGCAATGTCTCCGCCGCCCTCGGGGATATTTTTCACATGAAAGCGCGGGGGATCGCCTCGACCTCGTATGCCATCTGCGTCGTTGGCGGACCCACGATGGGACCCATCATCGGGGCGGCATTGGTATCGAACCCTTCTCTCGGCTGGCGCTGGACCGAATACATCGAAGCGATCTTTGTGTTCTTCGTATTCGCCGTCACATTCCTCTGTTTGCCTGAGATGTACGGCCCCGTGCTCCTGCACAAGAAGGCCAAGCGCCTACGCAAGGAAACCGGCAATGCGGACCTCTACCACCCCCACGAGCATATGAAAATCGACGCCCACAGCATCGTGACGAAGCACTTCTCCCGGCCCTTGGTCATGCTCGTCACCGAGCCCATGGTCACCGTGATTGCCCTGTATGCCTCCTTCACCTACGCCCTCCTCTACCTCACCCTCGAAGTCTTCCCCATCGTCTTCGACGAACTCCGCCAGTGGAAACCCGTCGTCGCCACCCTCCCGTTCATCGCCCTCTTCGTCGGCGTCCTCCTGTCGTCCTCTTTCGTCATCCTCGTCGGCCAACCCTACTACATCCGCAAATTCGACGAAGGCGGCGGCAAGCCCGTGCCCGAGGCTCGCCTCATGCCCATGGCCGTCGGCGGGTTCTTGTTCGCGGCGGGCCTGTTCTGGTTTGGCTGGACCGCCGCACCGAAGTACCACTGGGCGCTGCCCTGCGTGGCGGCGGGCATGTTTGGCTGCGGGTTCTGCATCATCTTCGGCCAGTGCATCAACTTTCTGGTCGACACGTACGGGCCCTATGCCGCGTCCGCCACCGCGTCCAACACGTTCCTGCGGAGTGTGCTCGCGGCGGCGTTCCCGCTCTTCTCGCAGCCCATGTTCCATAATCTGGGCGTGGGCCCGGCCATGTCGATCCTAGGGGGTGTGGCGGCGGCGGCAATCCCGGTGCCGTTCCTGTTTATGGTGTACGGGAAGCGGTTGCGGGCTATGTCGAGGTTTGCGCCGTTCAAGGGGTGAGTCGGTGGCTCGGTGGTATTGTTAAAGGGATTGAGGAAGCTTTGCATAAAAGGTGTTTAGTGGTGTTTGATGATGTATAGGATACACATTTGCATATATATAATACAGACACGCATATATGTATACGTGGAAATAGATCACACATAATCGCATTATGCTTGGACTTGAAAAGAGCTCTAAAGTAATCTTTTTTCGAAGAGGGGACCATGATATCTGGTCATTGAATCAAAGTCCGGAAGAAAGGGACTCGGCAAGACCATAGGTGGCTATAGTCGTGTTCTACGAGTGCAACCTGCGAATGCGCAAAATATGTATATATGTTATTTTGAAAATAAGAAAGGAAAAAATTGAAACCATTCCGCCCCATCAAAACCAATAAATTATGGATCGTCCGCAACCAAAACACTTGGACAGAACAGATCGGGTCAAGAATTCGCAATTGAATAGAGCTTCCTGCCCAGGAAAGAAGCTAGGTAGGGCACGTGCAGCAGGTTCTTCAAGCGCCCAGTGTAAAAAAACCATGACAAGAACTAGTTATCCTATGTATTGGGTATTCTATTTTGTTGATCCTTGTAACTGTTAAGCGGCCGCACTTTCACACAACATCCGATATGGTGTAGTGGCTAACATCGCCGTCTCTCACACGGCAGCCGGGGGTTCGATTCCCCCTATCGGAGCTCATCTTTTTGTGTTTTTTTTTGGCTGTAGCTTCCGTTGTTTAAGCACAATCTTGTTACGCTACTTGGCTGCACTTCCACACAACATCCGATATGGTGTAGTGGCTAACATCGCCGTCTTTCACACGGCAGCCGGGGGTTCGATTCCCCCTATCGGAGACCATCTTTTTGTGCTTTTTTTGGTGGCTGCCGCGTCCTTCTTTCAAGCTCATCTTTTTCGTGCCACTGGAGAACGTTGATAGAATATAGATAACATGTCGTGATGATGCCATGGTATACTTTCGGTCGGGTCGGGCAGCCACGCGAGACTGGAACTCAATTGTTTGGTTGTCCGGGAGTTTGGCCTGCGACCTGTCACAGCAGCATCAGGATCCGGCCGTCGATCCCAGTGAACTCGCCCAATCAGCAGCAACAACCGTAAGATCTCAGCTCGGAATCTCTGAGCCTTGTGTCACGCGAACAGCGAATAAAAGTTCGATCCCGTTCGACAGAGACAGGGCGGAGAAGAATGCATAGTAGGATTACTTACATACCTATAGTTAGTTATTCGCCGTCTTACTCCATGCGGATCTCACGGTCACCTGCCCGCCCACACCGCACCTCCTCACTCACTCCAAGCCTCTCAAGACCACAAACCATCATATGTCCCAGGAGCAGTCTTACCATGGCGTCATGCTATGTAGCTCCTACACTGAGTATCTTTCATTCTTCATCGATCTCATAACCCCGACTGTGCAGGCCATTTTCTCGCCGTGCATCTAGCTATTTAGCTTGGAAATCTAGGAGGTCGTTCAACTCGCCCAATCTCGCTTCGCCTTATTCATCAACAGCAACGTCACGCGTCGATGCAAATACAGCAAACGGTGAATACCAATACGAATACAATTGGGTTGATGGCGCGGAGACGCTTGAGAGGTATAGACCTGGAGGCTACCACCCTATCATGATCGGCGACCTACTTCACGACCGTTATCACATCGTCGACAAGCTCGGCTTCGGAGGGTACACGACAGTCTGGCTGGCGCAGGACACTCGTCTGAAGCAGTATGTTGCTCTCAAGGTCGGTATCGCAGATTCGACATTGCAGGAGCCGATTGTTCTCAGAGCGCTTACCACGCCGTTGTCATCACCACCACCACCATGTCCGATACCTTTGGGGTGTAATTCCATCCCCAAGACCCTAGATGAATTTGAGCTGAACGGCCCAAACGGAAAGCACCTATGCTACACCATGCCACCAGCACGCTGCAATCTTCGAGATGTCTCGTTCAGTCGCCTCTTCCCGCTGGACGTGGCGCGGGCTCTCTCAGGCGGCCTGGCGATTGCTATCGCATACATGCATTCTCGAGGCTACGCCCATGGAGGTTGGTCTTGCCCCAAAAGATCATCGTTCTTGTTGAAGGGGATGATGCATTGTGAGCTAATGATCAATTCTAACATCCGCCTCTCGCTCCATGTCCAGATATACATCTGCGCAATATCCTCGCCAAACTGCCCTCCAACTTCGATCACCTGACCGTTGAGAAGCTGTATGAGGAATATGGCGAGCCAGAGACCGTTCCCATCACCCTTCGCAGCACCCACAAAAATGAAAGGGGGCTCCCGCCAAACGTGCCCGCGGAAGCCGTCCTACCGCTCGACTTCGGGATCGAAGCGGAGGAATTCTCCCTCGCGGACTCGCACCTGATTCTGAGCGACTTCGGCGAGGCCTTCGCTCCGGACTCGCACCCCCGGAAAGGGAAAGATTGTCACACCCCCCTGCCGATGCGGCCCCCAGAGGCGAGGTTCGAGCCGTCCACCGCGCTGTCTTACTCCGCCGATATCTGGACCCTGGCCTTCGCCATCTGGGAGATTCTGGGCATGAAGGCCCTCTTTAGTGTGGACTTTGGCACGGCAGATGAGCTCGTCTCCCCGTACATTGACGTGCTCGGGCCGATGCCCCAGGCGTGGTGGGAACGCTGGGAAGAAAGGGGTCAGTTCTTCGAGAACGATAGTCAGAGATGTCCGAAGAGGGATCGGTACGTCTGGCCGCCCATCGACCAGGAATTCGAGGACGGGATTCAGCATTATCGCCGAAAGCGGAAAATGGGCGCATTCGGGGCGGAGGAGACGGCGGCGATCTTGGAGCTCATGCGGCGGATGTTGGCGTTTCGGCCGGAGGAACGGCCGTCGGCTGCGGAGGTGCTGCAGTCGGAGTGGATGGTCAAGTGGGTGTTGCCTGATTACGAGCGGAGTTTGCGGTGTCGCAGTGGGTTTCATGGATGATTGCCGGGGATCTGATTGTTGATATACCATTTCTGACGGCGGAAGCAAAGGGGCTTGGGGGCGAATAGGGCAGGTGGAAACTTGATACCTTAGCAAGAGAGTTGTTCTTGAAAGGCACCCGTACCCGTACCCTCTTTCCCATTTAGCCCTCTACTACAGTCTGAAGTGTTTTCTGCTACGCCAGGTGTAATCAAGGTCGTGTTTGCTTTTGTAGACAAATCATAGATGCCCATCACTGCTTCAGGAGGTCTCAGTCTTTCGCTAGCCCTGCCCGCCGGCGGTCAACTGTAGTACTGTAAAGAGTCGGTACTAGTTAGTGGGGATAACTATGTCGAACGGTCTTGCAACAATCCGCCCATGTGAGGCCAAGGGCGATACCAGCAAGCGAGTGGCCCACGCAAGAGAAACAACGGAAGTTCCTCTACACACCCGTGACACCCCCCGAGGCACCTTGCCAAGCGAGCGGGGAGGCGAGGCCGGCCCTCTTCGAATACCTTGTCAACGTCTCATACCTGAGGGAGGCTACAATCTTTTTCTTGTCTTGGGTTCGAATTCTATACAGTACATCAAAGCGTAGCTATTCTTCTTGAGTCTAAATATCTATCCCTATAGAAAAAGATAACCAGTTGGGTTGATCGGGTAACGTCGCGGGTATACATGCATTGTATAGGAGTTCGGCAGGAAAACGCGCGTGTTTCGGAAAGGTAACCCGCTAACTCCCCCCTCAGAAGAAGACCCTGGCCAAACTGCTCAACTTAAGTCAACCAGCATTCGTCACCCTTCGTCAGGTCCTCATGGAGTTACGAAGCGCTAGCCTCGTAAGGGCATGATATCCAAACAGTGTATCGATGGAACAAATCGGTAACTGCGTTGGAAATGCATAACTACTTCCCAATAAAGATGTACCGGATGTTTACGTGGGGCATCGGGCCTCCATTTCCCTGCGCGGGATGTCTGCGAGGCTGTTTTGTGATCTGGTTATCCCCACTGGCAGAATCAGACAGGTCCGGTGGGTCAGAACAAGCAGTGCTTTGACACGTCCCTTTAGGAAAGGCAAGTATAGTGTGATGTTCTTTCTGCATTAAACTAATATACGTAAACAGTCCCAATTTTCGTCCCAAAATCAACTGTCCCAAACAGGATGTCAAAAGCCATAAAAGACATTATTATAACACAGGTAAGATTCCTCCTTGCTTCAACAAACCGGGAGGGAGGGGGGTATAATCTTGGATCTCGCCGATTTGAGTTTCAGCTGAGTGCGATCACGCTGCTCGCATCGAACCCAAACACAGTTTACTTCGCCTCCGCTGCGTCAACCTTCTCAACACTGTGCGCCGTGCTCAACGAGCTCGTGCGGTAGAAGTAGTCGTGCACGGAGCCGCCCAGTAACTCGTCCTCAATGAAGGCGTCCGCATCATCCTCCCGCTTGGTCTCCTCGCTCAGGCGCGCCATCTTGGTCTCCCACTCGGCGCGGTATTCGCGGATGCGCTGCTGGTAATCCAGCTCCGGGTTGTAATACTTGCTGGCGCCCCGGAAGCGCTCCCACACCGACAGATGCTTCGGGTGCACGGCCACGCCGTGATACTCGTGCTCGCGGCCCTCCCGGATGTAGATCCAGCGGCGCTCCTGCTCCTTGAGGTCGAGGCCGGTGGTGTCGGGTAGGAACAGGTACGTCAGGGCCATACCAAGCAGTCCCCACCACGGGACGAAGTAGAACTTGGTCTGGGTATCTATGTAGTTGAAGAGGACGGCCGCCAGCAGCGCGCCGAGCTTGCCCGTCGCAGCGGAGATGCCGTGCGCGGTCGCCCGGATCGGGGTGGGGAAGACCTCACCGGCCACGAGGAAGGTCACGCAGTTGGGGCCGAACTGGTTGAAGAAACTGGACAGGAAGTACATCGTCTGGAACGAGTGGATGTGTGCGGCTTCCGTGTAGTAGTCGTAGTTGAACGCAGGCACCACGAACATGATGAAACAGAGCAAGAAGCCCCAGATCTGCATCCATTTACGGCCGTAGAGCTTGTTGTCGACGAAGGCGATGGCGAAGTAATAACCAGCCAAAGTAACGACAACGTCGATGAAACTCCATTGCCACGTGGTGAAGATCGATTTCGACTTCGGGCTGATGACGGCAATGAAGTCGCTGGAGAACAGCTTGGCGCCGTAGAAGAAGACGTCGTTGGCGAACCAGCCACCAGCCGTGGCAAGGACACGCGGAGTGAAGTGCTTGAAGGTCAAGCGGAGGGACTCGCTGTCGTAGCCGGTCACGGACACCTTGGCCGCCTTCTTGGTGGCTGCGAGCTGCTTGCTGGCGGCCTTCATGTGGTAGGCACGGTAATAGAGAAGCCAGAGAGTGCCAACCAGCGGGATCACGAAGGAGATGCGGTAGGTCCACTGGGTGGCGGTCTGGTTGATGGGCTCCTCGCCGCTGCCGGCGTTGAAGATCAGAAGCAGGATCATGAGGAAGGCCTGGTTGAGAACCTGACCCCAACCTTGCATCGAGAAGCATGAGATCACTTTGGCGCCGCGGTGAAGACGATCCTCCCGAGTAGAGAGCTTGCCAGAGCCGACGGCATTCTCCATGCTACTTGTGACAGTCATCGGGTACTCGCCACCTATCAGACAGCCAGTCAGTCATCGTATCATTGGGACCAAAAAGGCAAGGAGGCAGATACTCACCAACACCGATGCCGTAGATGAACAAAGACCACGCATAGCAGATGACCCAACCGTTCTGTGTGGTACCCCAAGCGCAAACCAGCATGACCAAGCCTAGAATCATAATCCAGGCATCTTGTAGCAGACCCCAACGACGGCCGATCCAATCGCCAATAATACCGACCAACACCTGTCCGATGATAATCCCGACGATCTCGAGGTAGGATATAGCGGAGATCCAGTTCTTGGAGCAGATCTCGTATTTGCCCCAACAAGATTCGAAGGACTTGCCAAACAGGGTGGAGATGTTTCCGATGGAGAGCAAAACATAACTATGACACATCAGACCAACATCTTCTTGTAGAGAGTCCCAGCCAGGATGGACTTACCCTTCCAGACCAATACCAGCACCTGGAATGACGGTGTCACGAAAGTAGTTCATCAGCGGCGACAAAGGATCGGCCTTGAACTGCTGCCAGAGAGCCGACCACTGACGGCTACTCTCCTTGGAGTCCACGGAGCGGACGAATTTGATCCGCTGGCCGAGAGAAAGATCGGCCCAGTAGACACCCGCTTGGGTGTAACTATCATCGGGGCGAAGGAGTTTGTCGAAAGCCTCCTTCTCGCTGTGGCTCATCTCAGGGAACTCGTGCTTGGCGGCCATGTCGGGCTCGCGAGAAGCGTCAAAGTCTGCCATATCGAGTATGTATTGACAAAAGGTCCTCGAGGCTGTTGAGAGACAGATGATCCTACCCGAAAAAGGGGGGGAGGGAGGAGAACTGATGGGCTTAAATATGCATGAACGGCGAAGGGGTTGCATTATGATGCTATATGCACCGAGAACCATCAACATCAGACTCGTTCAGCACGTTCTAGCGGTGGAGATTGTGGTTGGCTAGAAGCAGTTGGTTTGGTCCACTAGCGGTGCTTTAGTCGGCCAGGCAGTTGCATCTCACCCCGGTCAAGCGAGACGAACTAGTGGGCCTTCGGCCTCGGAGGGAAGCAACGTGACAGTTGGACCGGATCAGTGTGTCAAGTAATCTCGGTTCCCTAGGCTCAACGACCAACGAGGGTTTTCTGATTGCATGAGCGAGAGTTGGCAAGGCGGGCTGGCTGACGGTGGCCTCGGGCCTGGACAACCCATGCCGCTGCTCGACGGCAGCTGTGCGCCAGCATCTAGATTGCAGACCTTGCTGTTATCTCCATTGCAAATGAATTCACGATTATCACATCGCAACTAACCGGTTCAAATCGGAGACTAAGATGAAGGACCGGGTCGGACTGAGTCATGGCCCCGAGCACAGTAGGTTTAGCGAAGAAGCAGAGACAAGAGAAGAAGAGAAGAAGGGGAGCAGACAAGCCTCCTTGGCCAGACTTGGCCCAACTTGGCCCAACTTGGCTCCTGCGACACCCGGCATGGCAGCGGGCGTGGCACCACGTGCGAGGAGAGAGCTGTGACTTGCATCCACGGTCCTGTAGCACCAAGTGGGCTGCACTTGGCGAAATGGCCAAAAAGTGTCTCGTGTCTCGTGTGTTGATGAGAGGTAGAATCAAAGAGGAGAAAGAGCGCACGTGCCCGGCCTGGTTGTTTTCTCTCGCCCGCTGGCCGCCGTCCCGTGCGCCCCCTATCGACGCCCTAACCTGTATCGAGTCTAGGCCCCGAATCCTCTGTTCTCCGAGTGCCTCATCAATCATCATCTAATTAACCAACTACCCATTGTTGGATTACAATGGGAGAGTCAAGTGCCAGGACGTTCTTCTTTTTTCTCTGGGGCTACGGTTATTCCAGGATTCTGTGAGTTTCTTCTGATTCAGATACCACCCACTGATCCTCCCTTGCGGCATGTCGACTTCTCATGTCATGGTCTTCCTCGGCTGCAATATATACTGGTCCTGCGCAGGAAGACCATCATGGCGTTGAGTATTGAGATGAAGATTGAGGAGACTAGCATGACTTTTGGCGCATTGGAAAATTATGGTACGCAGTTGAATAGTCAGGCCAATCTTCATGTCCATTCACTGACTCATACGATGCGCTGCACTACAGATTCTCATGCCCCTCCCAGATCATTCAATCCATAAATGCACATTGACGAGTGCGTTGGTCCCAGAAAGGTCAAGATCTTTTCTATCTCAGTGATTGAAAAATGACAGATACAAGATCTCTCAATGCTCTACCGACTCCACGCTCAAACGACAGCAAGATACCATTATATACAATTATGAATGACAGTGTAGAAAGTACTGTACACCTGACGGCCCCTCGTCATACCGCCGGGCTATGCAACGGGGAAGAGGCCAGCCGTAGATACCGGTGTGGCCGCCACTTGAACCTCCGCGTCCACCAGAAGATCAGAATCGTGCCGAAGCAAGCGAGCAGAATCATGCCGATGACCACATCATTGATGGCCCGCAACAGATCGTCTGCATCGGAGACGTGCTCGGACTCCTCCTGGGCCACTTCTTCGTCCATGACAATGGTCTCGACCAGCGTGGCCGGGTCCACCACCATCTCCTCGACAGCAGGCTCGACAGCCACCAGCGAAGCAGGATCATCAGGGACGAGGAGCAGCTG